GACAGGCAATGCGTCCCCAGGCGCTGCCTCCACGCGAAGCCGCCCACTCTCCGTGGGAGCTCCTCCTTCTGACCGCAGAGCCCCGCCCCCTCCCACGGGAGTGCTCCACTGACCGCTCTGCGGGCATCCAGGGCCTGCCCCTTTAAAGCTTCGGAGGGACAAGCAGGCCACATCATCGACGTCCATGCCATGAGTGAAGTCTGATCTAGGTTAATCACTTCGGCCATCGCACCAAAAGGAATGATGCTCTTCGATCCAGAGCCTTCCCCGGGGCAGAGTCCCCCGGCCCCCGGGGACAGCCAGCTGGGGTGTGACGGGCAGGGCCAGCTCCAGGTGACCACACTGAACCTTCCCTCACACCACAAACTGGCCCCATGCACAAACGGCCCCTTTTGGAAAACAGCACCCGCAGGTGCCCGCTGTCCCCGCCGGAAGCCACAGACAGCCCGGTGCTGCCTCCCCCTCCTCGTCACAAGGTGTTGGTGGGCCCGGCGGCCGCGTGGCTCGGTGGTGGAGTGTCCACCTAGGAACCAGTAGGGGGCGTAAGGGAGACGGACAATCATTGATTCTCATCATGGATGTTTTTCTCCCTTTCCCTCTCCTTGATCAATAACAATATATGTATTTTTTAATCCCAGGAGGAAGCCCATGTGTCTTTCAAGGTCCACAGGGCCCTCCAATGGCACTTCACTCAGAGACACACACCCTCCTCCTCCCCCCTCAGCCTGTGCCCACTCCCAGCCGCACATCCCTGAGTGACACGTGTTCTCAGACACAGATGGCCCGCGGCTAGGAGGAGGACACACGCCTCGTCCCCTCCCACACACACACCACCACGGCCGTGCCCCTCGGAGGGAAGGCAGCCCGCAGATCCCGCAGAATCCCCCCTCTCGGACCAGGAGGGCGCTGCAGGCAGAGGGCTTCCCTGGGTGCATGGGGACACTGCGGAGGGCTCCGGGGTACCAGGATGGAAAGGCTCCTTTTAAGATGACACGTGTCCCCTTCAGGTCCGCTCGAGTGAGTCAAGTTCGGCGGAAGGCTCCTGTGTTTGGCACGGATCGGCCAGCCCGCTCTCCCGGCTCAGCTCTCCCAGGCGGCTGGGGGGGCCACACCTGGCGGCGCTCTGCAGACCGGGCCTGCCTGGCAAAGCCCACAGCGCCCGCTGGGCGGGCGGGCGCAGGGACGGAGGCATCCGCGGTGGCCTGCCCTTTCTCTGGGACGCATGCCCACCCGCTCCGGGCGGGGAGAGGGGGTGGCAGATGCGGGCACGCAGGAGACAGACAGTGATCCTGCAGAAATCTGTGCGGGGGCGGGCAGGCGAACGCACTTTAGTCACTGCACACGGGGTTCCGAGTGGAGACTCAGACTGACGGAACTGGCAGCCGTCACCTGGGTGTTGTTGGCCCCTGGCCAGGTAGCTTCTGCTTATCTCTGAGCTCAGTGAAAAGCAGGTGGGGTGTGTACCAGCCAAACAACCTACACAGCGGGGTGTTTTTCCGAGGAAAGCATGTATTTGTTTGGAAGAGCACTATGGAACCAGGGCTGGGAAGGACCTTGGATACCACTGGCCCCAGAGACTAGGACCCAGACAAGGAAGTGACTTACCTAAGGTCACACAGCGGACAGTATTGCAGGCGAGGGCCACGACCCGCCAGAATCTCCCCAGATAAAACGTGCCGATCTGTGGAGAGCGGCCACAGCGTTTGGGCAGGTTTGAGCCTCGCACTAATGAGAGGGCACGGCCCTCTCGTGGCAAAGCCACGTGCAAGTCCCAGCGTGGAGGGCAAAGCCCTCCCACCCAGCACAATTACAGCCACGGGCTAGGACTGTCAGCTTGACCTTACGGTCTGAACCTGTGGTCACCCGTGGCTGAGTAATAGGGGCTGCGGGAGGTGCAGCAGGTGCTGCCCACACAAAGCTTGCCAGGGTTCTCAGAGGCATGGAACTGAGAGGATTCGAAACCCGGGAGAACATCGTGAACGCCTTGACCACACTCTGGCTTTGCCTCGTGGAATCTGCCTATAAAATAAAGACTCGGCTTGCAGGCTGTGGCGCTGTGTCTCCACCCGAGAGCAGCGTCCTACCCAGCCCCAGCTTTATTCTCTCGTCTGTCTTCTTGGATCCTTCACCGCCCCTCAGGCTCACCCCTGGCCATGCTGAGTGCAGCACACTTATCATTGTGTCTGCTACCGTGTTTTTAAAGAGATAAGGTTCCCTACTACTCAGCCTGCAGCTTTATCCTGTACCTCTCTGATTTCCTGGCATGGGAACACCTAGCCTATAACTCAATATCAATTGTTTAAAGACCATTCATCAGTGAAATGATTAGACAGAGCCCACACGTCAGGTTTGACAAGGGGTTTCACCCTGGCCAGGGTGGCTCAGTTGGTTGATGCATCCTCCCACACACGGAAGGGTGGCGGGTCCAATCCCCTGTCAGGGCACATGCCCGGGTTGCAGGTTCAATCCCCGGTTGGGAGAGTACAAAAATGCAACCAGATGGTCTTTCACATCAATGTTTCTCTCTCCCTCTCTCTTCCTGGATTTAAAAAAAAAAAAAAAAAGGAATTTTAATCCCTGATAGGATGTAAGTAATTTTATTCATGTTGATAGTTTGTTGCTTTAAATTTGAGACATAAATCTATAAAGACACATAATTATCACATAATGACCTCATGCATAATTGATGGCAAATAAAAAGTATCATTGTAGAAATATACAACGTGCATTGAAAAGTCAGGTATTCCAGGTTACAAACACTGGTTTATTTCAAAGAATGAGGAAACTGAGTCACAACCACACCTGATATCAGCCAAAGATTGGTGCCCAGAAAATACTTTTTCTTTAATATTTATAAAAACTAGATGAGAAAAGCATAGGCATCAACCGAGGTTTCAAAAAAAAAAAACAAAAAAAAAAACTGAACCACCTGCAGTGTAGGCAGCTACAAATAGGACTGAGCGGTGAGAAACAGTCCACGCAGAACATCCTAGCAAAATTCTCACCCCACACACCCACCACGCACACACACTCCGAACAGATGGTCTCCAAGGAGCAGCTAAACATTCCATAGGCCAAGTGCACAAACATTAATGATGAAAGCATGACGCTGTGCAAAGGAGCACAGCCTTCTCTCAGCCTCCGCCTCCAGCTCCAGAACCAAATCACAGCCACCGGGGGCCAGGGCCCGCTGCAGCCCAGGCGCCTGACGGATAACATCCGGTCTGCGGTCCAGGGTGCGTGTCCCAGGGTGCGTGTCCACCAGCCTCTGCCCACAGCCCGCAGCGCAAGACCAGGGCACAGCTAATCAACACCAGCTCCCCAGCTGGGACCTGGCGCGTCAGGAGAGGAGGAGCATCAGCGCCGGAGTCCAATTTAACTGTTGGAAGGAAGCGGCCTGGGCCGGGCTCCAGGCTGCTGGGCGGGGATGTCCAAGCCAGTGACAGGGGGGCGCCGGGTTCCCCCCCAGCTCAGCGGAGGCATTGTCTGCTCTTGGCAAAGGGTTAACCTATCCCCCAAAAAGGTGGGGCTGGGGGGGGGGGGGAGAAATACCCGCCGGCACCTCCTCCTTCCACTCTGCAGGGAGGGGAAGCGGGCACCCCTCCCAGAGGGGGGGCCCAGACACACCATTGTCTAGCGGGCCGCCCGGTCCAGATGGAGCTCACGGAAACATCGGAAATGACTGTGTGACTCCATCCTCCCTCCGACGGCCCCCTCGCGGACTCCAGCACCCCCATTCCGGGGCAAGTTGGAGAAAAATGCAACTCCCTGCAAAGCCTCCCCAGATTTGCTTTAAAATGACAGGCAAATGGGTTTAGGGCCCGTGGCCTTAACGCCCCATCTCCCAAATCACCAGATCTGTCCCCAGTTTAAGAGAAAAAGTGTGCCCGGCCCCGGGCAGGAGGGGGCATCCGCAGCGGTAAACACTGAGGGTGAGATCCGTGAAATCCATGAAATCCATCACGCTTTTCCCAGGGACCGTCCAAGCCGGGCTCCTCGCCCCGGGCGGCCGCAGGCTCCGCACCGGTCCCGTCTCGCAGGGAGTCCCCGCCGAGGGGGCCGAGGGGCGAGCGGGACCCCGCGGACATGGAGCCGCGGAAACGGGAGCCGCGCGGGCCGCCGCGGGAGGAGGAGGCGGGAGAGAGCGGGGAGCCGGCTCATCCGTCAGCGCTGATGTCCTTTGTTGTTCACCTTCGCGCAGCGCCGCGCGCCCCGGCCCCCTGCCCGGCCAGCGGGACCCGGGGCTGGGCCGGCCGGTCCTGCTGCCAGCGGGGCCCGGGCTCCCGGGGGCCAGGCTTCCCGAGCCGGGACCCTGGCACCGCCCCCCAGACGCCCGGCCGGCCGGAGGGCGCCCGCCAGTGAGGACACCCCCGAACACCGGCCCTCCGATCGCGGAGGGGGGCCCGCAGAGGAGCACAGTCCTGCGCCCCCGCCCCAGGACGCAGCCCCCGCACCGGGGGTCCGGGGGGAGGGGGAGGAGGAGGGACCCGAGGAGAAGGCGCCGGCCCGGCTCGGGCTGTCCGCGGGCTCCAGAGCGGAGGTCCGCGCCTCCCCTCGGGGAGGGGTGTCCGCTGGGCGGCCCGCGGCTCTCGCCTCCTCTCTCTCTCCAATCTGGGAAACCACGGTCCCGGCCCACGGCCGCGGCGGGGACGAAGGGGAAGGAAGAAGCGGAACGCCGGCCACCCCCTCCTCCTCCTCCTCCAACTTGACACTCGCGCCGCGTCGCCTCCCAAACTCCGCAGGCGGAGCCCGCAGCGGGCGGCTGGCCGCGCGCCGCCCCCGTCCCCGCCGGGAGTCCGAGCCCCCCGGGCGCTGCGGGGCGAGACCCCGGCGCGCACCGCACGCCCCGAGGCCGGCGCCCCCGGAGCACCAGCCCGCGGCGCGAGGCCAGCGGGGAGAGGCGCTGGCAGCCGGCGGGGCGCGCGGGGCGCGGGGGCAAGGACGCGGCGTGCGCGCACCGGCCCGGCCCGCGGGGATGCCCGCGGCCCGCGGACACTCACCCACGCCGTATTTCTCGTGCTCCGTGGGCATCCACATGGCTGGACAGGGCGCGGGCGCTCGGGCTGCGTCCTGCCCGCGGCCCCGCTCCAGCTCCGGCTCCGGATCCCAATGCACAGCCGCCGAGGGGTGCGCGGCGGGCGCCGGGCGCGCTGCAGGCTCCCGAGCCCCGCGCTGGCACCGCGCGGCCCGGGCTGCGCCGCCTGCCGCTACGCCGGGGCGGCCGCTCACAGTCGGACGCGCTCGCGGCGACCCGGCGGCGGCGCAGTCATTGTTCTGATTCACTGAACTAAGCGAACACGCCGGGGCACCCGCGGGCGCACCCCCGCCCGCCCGCCAGCTCCCGCTCCCGCCCCCGCCCCCGCCCTCCCGGCCCTGCGCCCCGGGGCACGCTGGGAATTGTAGTTCTGGGCCGCCCCGTTCCGGAAGGGGGCGTGATCTGACCTATTAGGGGCGGGGATTAGGTTCCGCTCGCCGCGTTCTATTGGTCCAGAGAGTGACGGCACGACGTGGGCGTGGAGGAAACGTCACTTTGAGGGGGCGTGCATCCCCAGTCGCTCTCGCATTGGTTCCCGTCCGAACCGCCCCGCCCCGCCCCGCGGCCCTCCCCTTCCCTGTCGGCGGCGGCGGCATGGCGGCTCCCAGGGCCCCCGGGGCTGCGCTCGGAGGCGGGGAAGCCGGTGACGGCGGTCGCGGCGGAGCCGGGGCTGTCAGTAACGAGGGTGAGTCCGGTGCCCCAGGCGCGGGGTCTGCGCCTTCCTCGTGGGCCGGGATGCCGCTGGCCGCCGCGCGGACCCGGGAGCCGCCGGCTCTGGAGCCGCACGGGCGGGAGGCGGCCGAGGGCGGGCCCGGCGGTGCGCGTGGACGCCGGCAGCCGGGTGCGGGAGTGGAGGGGGGAGACGGGGTGGCCCGGCCTCCCGGCGGCCGGGTGCGGGAGTGGAGGGGGGAGACGGGGTGGCCCGGCCTCCCGGCGGCCGGGTGCGGGAGTGGAGGGGGGGAGACGGGGTGGCCCGGCCTCCCGGCGGCCGGGTGCGGGAGTGGAGGGGGGGAGACGGGGTGGCCCGGCCTCCCGGCGGCCGGGTGCGGGAGTGGAGGGGGGAGGGAGAAGGGGTGGCACGGCCTCGCGGCGGCCGGGGTGCGGGAGTGAAGGGGGGAGGGAGAAGGGGTGGCTCGGCCTCGCGGCCGCCGGGCGTGCGGAGCTCCGGGCGCGGCGTTTTGCCGGGCGGGTGCGGGTCCCCCCGGTTCGCCTGCGGGCGGTCGTCCCTCCGGGGCTGGCGGCTCCCGGGCCCCGCCTCTTCGCTCGGTGTGACCTGGGGAGGCAGAGGGGCGGTTCCGGCTGACTTCCAGGTGCAGACTGGCCACTGCCGTCCCGTCTGCAGATGTGCCAGGTGCCGGGGGAGCGGCCTCGGGCGGGCACGGCGGGCCTCCCGCCTCCCGCCTCCCGCCTCCCTGGTGGCCGGGGGCCCTGGTGGTTAGGGTTTGAGGTGGGGCCGGCGTGGTCCTTGGGGTGGAGGGAAGGGAGAGGGCATCCGCACGCGGGAGGGAAGGCGGTTCTGAAGATGCCAGCTGCTGTGGCTCTGCCTGACCCGCCGCAGAGGTCAGTGCCCACGCCCTGAACGGTAGGGGGTTGTCTTTAGGGTTCCCAGCCCCGTCCTTTCACCTTTGGTCCATCTCCTGCCCTCCCCGCCGCCGCCCCCCACCCTCCAGGTGTTGGGGAGATCATTATCCCTTATCTTCTTGACCCTGATGGGTAATTAAGCACAGGAAGTAATCTTTTTGTAATGAAATTGCTTTGGGTTTCAATTTGGTTCTCAACTCCTGTTGAGGGTTTTTTTTGTTCGTTCTTTGTCACTGTTTTCCCATTTTAACTGACATTTCATCGTAAATTTTTTCCGAGCGGTGCAAGGATAAAGTGCAGTCACTTCCGTGGATGGAACTAAGCACCTGGCCCTCCATTATTTCAGTGCCTCTTTTAGCCGAAACCGGTGTGGCTCAGTGGATAGAGCGTCGGCCTGTGGACTGAAAGGTCCCAGGTTCGATTCCGATCAAGGGCATGTACCTTGGTTGCGGGCACATCCCCAGTGGGGGAGTGTGCAGGAGGCAGCTGATCGATGATTCTCATCGATGCTACTAGCTCTCTATCCCTCTCTCTTCCTCTCTGTTGAAAATCAATAAAATATATTTAAATAAATAAATAAAATAAAATAAAACAAAGGGCTGTGCCCACGGTACTCCATAGAGAGTGGGTGTGCCCTACCTGAGCCGGCTCGTTCTCATGTGCATATATGTAGTTGGGCTTTAGTTTTTAGGGAATGATGTAGCCTCATATACAATATGTATCCTTGGCCACTAGGGGAATGTTTCTTTACAAATTACTGGGTCAAGGTTACACATGTTAAAAATCTTGGTAGATGTCAGATCTTTCTCTTGAAAGGTATCAGTGTGTCTTCCCCCCAGGAGTACATGAGATTTCCCCCGTATCCTCATCAGTCCATGACCATGTTTAAATGACTAGTAGGTAGAACTGAGAAACTGATAGAAATCTTAATTTTAGGCTCTAATTTGTTTGCAACAAAAGTATTGAGCAGCAAAGAATTTGCAGCATCTGTAACATTAAAAAAAATTCCGCACCCTGGCCCAGAACTGCTCCGAGTTCACCCTAGTTTGTAGCAGTCGGTGGGAGAGCTTACTGGTTGGTTTTTATGTTGTTCTTATAAGGAAAAGCTTATAACCCATGTATCATTCTGAGACATTATCCAGTTCTCTTCAAAGCATGCAAAGTGATACAGATTTGAATTGGAAATAATGATTTTTGGAGGCATATTCATATATATTATTTTTTATTTTTTGTTGTTGTTAAACAACCACTTAGGTTTTCAACTAAGTCTTTCCCCCATAAAATCATTACTTTTTTGGAAGTGGCCTCTTTAAAGAGGTTTTCCTCTAGCTTTAATTAAAGTGGCAATCTGCGTGTTTAATACCCTGGGACGGAGGGGCCCGGGAGTCTTTTTATAGAAACCCTTGCAGCTCAGCGAGGGCTCTATCACTGTGAGTCCCAGTGTTGCGCAGCAAAGGTCACACGTGTGGGAAATGTCACATATGCCCCACTTCCCGAGCTCCTCCCTCTGCAGGGAAGTCTCCAGTCTTGCATGACACTGCTCTCCATCCATTGGAACAGCAGCCAAGATTTCACATTGTCCCCAAATTAAGAAAGCTAGTAAATACCCGGCCGGGGTGGCTCAGTGGTTGAGCATCAATCAACCCATGAACCAAGAGGTCACTGGTTTGATTCCCGGTCAGGAACATGCTGGGGTGGCAGGCTCGATTCCCAGGAGAGGTGTGCAGGAGCAGTCAATTGATGATATTTCTCTCCCATCCATGTTTCTATCTCTTATCCCTCTCAGTTTCTCTCTAAAAGATCAATAAAAACATATTTTTTTTAAAGGAAGGTAGTAAATAAGCTCACCATTTCTCACACGTGGGATGTGTTATTGATATTTCTTCTTTTGCTGTTTTCAGTTAGAATGTGCATCTAATGAATAAGGTAGGACATCTGTAGCTTCCTAATTGACAGCTCGTTCGGGACCCTTTGGCTGGTGCTGCGTCTCCCTGTGCAGTGCTCTGACAGCGGCCTTCCCCTGCGGATGCTGGCCCACCCATAGTGTCTGAAAGGAAGGGGGTCACAGGTGATGTCAGCTCCTGGGTCTGTGTTCCCTGTTTCAGTGAAGAGCTTGAGGCCTTGGCTGGAAACCCTGGGAGTTCCTTGATCCCTGTCTCACCCTCAGGCCCAGTCTGATCTGTTACCTGGTATTGTTTCTCTGCCTGAAAGGACCTTTTGAATCTGTTTTCTGTCCTCCCTTCAGCCACTGCTCTCTCTGTAACCTTCACCATCACGGCCGAATTGCTGTGTCCCCCACCCCGAGCTGTGCCCCCCCGCACAACGCCTCTCATGAGTGTTTAATACATGTCCGGCCAGAACTGGCCTTGCTGGACCCTTGCAAAGCCCTCCCCTTGCTCTCCCTGGCTGAGCCCCCTCCTGTGATCCCTGCTCTGAAGTGAACATGTCTCCGTGGCTCCACGTCACATCCTCAGGCTGCGCTCCTGCTGTGGAGTGAGGGCCAAGCTCGGGTGGCGTTCGAGGTCTAACTTTCTGTCCCAGTCCCACCTCCAGCGCCCTGCTCCCGGCCCAGGTCTCCCTGACCGCACCGGCATCCTCAGACGGGTTTGGTTGGCAGCGCGACCACCCGGAGACAGTGCGCTTGCTGGGGGCAAGCTTTGTGTTACTGGTGTCCGTGGTGCTCATCTAAGCTCAGGGTCAGGTCGGTTTGAGGTTTATTCACCGAACTTATAATGCAGCTCTTTCCAGCACGTTTGTTTGACAGGACAGTGGACAGAGGACGCAGACCCCCGTCCTGGAGAAACCATGTCAGTGTCAGCTCTGACACTGAGGAGCTGTGTCGCATGCGTGTACTGCCCATGCTGCTAACGTGTGGAAGCGTGGATGTAATGCCTGCTTTACAGTGACTGATGGAAGCCCGGCGTGGTCCCTGTCATAGAGCAGCCCGGTAATTGCCAGCTGCCTTCAGAGTGAAGATAACCTAGTTGATTGAGCTCTCGGCTCCGCACTGGGGGAGCAATGTCAGGGGTGGGGTGGCCCAGGGGAGGCTCAGGAATGTGTGGGGATAACTGCGTGGGCTTCGGGCATCCGGGGAATCTGGGGGTTGTCAGACTGTCTGCCGAGCTCCCGGCGCTAGAATTGCAACTATGTGCCGGGAAAGCCTCTTTACATGTCTCTGTCCCCTTACCCCCTCCCTACTCCCCACCCAGCGCCCGCACACCCAGCGCCCGGCTCCCCAGCAGGCGCGCACTGCAGGCCGAGTCAGCAGGAAGCTCTGGGGGTCGTCCACATCAGGGGGCCTTGCGGGGTACAGGCCAGAGGGTGTCATGAAGAGAAAGAGTCGTAGAAACCTGGTCTGTAGAAACCTCGTCCAGGTGGTTTGGTGTGCGGGCCTGAAGGGCCTCCTCCAGGGCATCCTTTAGTTTCCTGTGGCGGTGACCTGTAGGCCCTCGGGGGAGACATTGGAAAGGAGGTGTTGTCCTCACGCTGATGCTGGGGAGCTCTCCTCTGTGAGCGGTAGCTGGTGCCAAGCCCCGCCTGCCATGCTTGTATGCCTCGCGTGTCCTGGGACAGGGCCAGTGGTGTGGCACTAGGGCTGGCGCTCTGTGCTGAGGCCTCCCCCGTGTGTCAGGGCGGGGGTGGGGGCGGAGCCGCGGGGAGAACCTGTGTGTCCCGCTCACACGGGGGGAATGGTCCATAGGCCCGTCCTCTAGGCACTGCCTGGGCGCACAGCCAGCTGTAAGTGTGTTTGTTTTAAAGGGAAGGAAAAACCGCTCTGTCCCCGTTCCCTCAGGCTGTCCGGTTCCTGTTCCTCCTTAACTGAAACCTGAACCTCCCCAAGCGAGGCCGGAGGCTCTAAGTTTCCTTAGTGTTTCTATCTGAACACTTAGATTGTGGTGTGTTGGGGGTTTTGTGTGTGTTTTTTAAAGAAAGCCCTCAGAATTGTAATTGTGGTTATTTAACACAATCTTCTGTTATGTAACAAGCTGCTATTCACCAGTAAGAGCCAATTAGGAAAGAAAACACTTCGTATCGGCTCATCCCAATTACCATAACAAAGCAGATAATAGCTGAGCCTGGCCTGATAGGAACCCAGAGGTGGGC